TTGAGGATCTTTAGCATAAACAAAGACTTTGTGATAATGGCTTCCCCATCTCTCCTGCCTTCTGACACCATGCACGTTCTTTACATCCAATGGGAAAAGCTCATCTCCTGCAGAGGCTTTGGAAGCTCCTCTTCCCCTCCCGGGCCTCACCTGAGACCAGGTGGCCTTAACGTGGCTATTGGAGGTTTCATTCACATTTTCTACAGTTCCTCTTTTTTGCTGCAACAAAGGACTTTCTTTAACTAGGCCACCCATTAATGATCAGAGACTTTTATCCTTTCTTGACAGACCCAAACTCTTTTCTCCTACCCATAATATTCTTTGCCTGTTTCTGCTTCATAATCAATGTAGGCAGTTTTATTAGTTCCAGGATCTAATTTAACATCAAAAGAATCAGACCACCTCTCTGGTGTGTGAATGACTGGCAGACCTGATTCAGGGAGGACATAAGGCACGTTTAGTATTTTATAGAACCATGATTTCTGTCTGCCAGCATCGCTGCCTTAAATGCAGGGAGAGCTGAGGGAAACCATGATGGGTACAAAAGCAGCAGTAAAGAGTTTTTTGTGCCAGATCCCCAAAGTGTGCCTGTAAAAATATTTCCTAAGGCAGCTCTCCATCACTGCTCATGTTAAACCTTTTAAGTCCATGTGTAATCTGGTAAATCTTATTCATCCAGATAGATGGATTTGAATGAGAACTCACCCTGCGAGGAAAGACTGGCCTGGAGAAGATAACAGTTCTTATTTGTCATCCTCTGTTATTGTAACCATATTACAGGGGATAATGAAGTGCAAGGGACAGCAATTAGTTGGTGGCAGCACAAGTGATAAGCACAGCACCAGGACTTTCATATACTGTGGTGTGCAACGCAGCCTATTGATTTAACAGCAGCTTTTCTCCCTTCCACTCTCCAGTAAAAAACAGCACGGAGATTTATGTGAGCAGCACTGCTTTGGAATACAGATCAGGCTGGAGAAACGCTGGTGCGAATGTTTGGATGCTCACAGTTTAAAAAAGCCCAGCCTAGGTTAATTCATAAAGTGCTTTGCAGACGGGCTGGATGCCGTGTGGTTCCCCTGCAGGGCTCCTTGGCTTTGTTCCTCACACCTGACTGCCGATTAATCTGCCTTTTAACTGTGCCTGCGTGGAGCCACACATGCTTGGAGCCACCAGCAATGTGTCTCTCTCCAGGCCTCTCCGAACTGGGTCACCCTTCAGCAATTGGTTAGTGGGAAATTATTCCCTTTGAGATTCCCAAGCCGCTCCGTGGGGCTGTCTATTGTCATGTTCTGGCACTGAGATTGTAGAACAGATTATGGGCAATCTGTCAGTTCAGGCTGTTCAAGGAGAGATGAAAAATCAGACACGTGTTGCTCTCACACACTGAGCAATTCCAACAAAGACAACAGAAAAAATATTTTTCTCCATTTATTATTCCCTTATTATTTCCTATTATAATATGGCAAGTAAAGCATGAAGTGTACCTTGAATAAAGAGCTTTAATGATGTATGGCCCTTGGCATTATCAAAATATTCCTGTGGATCTTAGTGGAGAATAATTTCAGGTCTTGAGTTGGTTTTGATGTTCAAGAGCTTCCACAGACCCCGTGGAGGCTGAACCCCACCTCAAAAATCACCTTTGGTTGTACCTAAGGCTGAGGCAAATCAGCTACGGGGTGATGATGCATTTAGATTAGTTGGTAATTAATGTTTCCTGGCACAATTTTAAACTCAAAAATGAGAATACAGAAGAATTTATTGTTGATCTTGGAGGGGATTTTAAGATCAGTTGAAAACATGGCCTTTGAATACAGCCAGGTCACCAACATCATAGGAATTCTTGTATGGACTTCCAGAAGAGTCCAGGGTCAGGTCTGATGGGGCTTGGAGCAACCTGGGATAGTGGAAGATGGAATGAGACGGGCCTGAAGGTCCCTTCTCATCCAAAGCATTCTCTGTTCTTCTCTTTTTAACCTTGAATTATGTAACATAATGAGTTGCAGGCTTGGCTTTGTCTCTGATAAATAATCATCTGCCAGTGAACATGTTTAATATTTTCACCTAATATTGTAGGTTAAAAAGAGAATTGCGTTGGAAATTTCATTCTGGTAAACAAGCAGCGAGATGACAAATGCCACAAAAAACAGCTCCAGTCACTGCAATGCTTAATGTTTTCTAGCCTTGGTTTTATATCAGCTTCCAATTACAGCTACAAAGGCAGAACCCCAATGTTGATGTAATTAGAAGACATATAAGCAAATTAAGGATTGAACACATATTTTAGAGCTTAGAATAAACAACCCTAATAACCTTTTTAGCCATTAAAAAAGCCTATTTTTTTTGTTGTTCGAAATAAAGGACATTCTGGCAACAGCTGAACAAGGATACAACAAAGCTGTGGGGAATTTGAGTTAGTGGGATGTTTTACTGTGGGGCAAGAATTCCCTCCCAGCCCTGGCCCTGGTTTCGATGGTTTCTCGTGCTGTCTGTTGCCAGGGCAGTCAGTGGATGGGTCCTCAGCTCTTGGATTAAACCAGAAAACAGCCCCATGGATGCTGCACCCCCTGTGCCCTCAGGCAAGTTGTAGGAGTAATGATCCAAAAGGGTTTAGGAGTTTTATTGCGGCAGGGAGGCAGCAGGGGTCAAATCTGCACCAGAAAACCTATAACTAAGTCTGTAATTCTTTTATGGGCAAAGCTGCAGGGATTTCTGCTTGATTAAGGATTGCATGATTGAGGCCAGTGACATTAACAGGCACAATGTCCTCTCTGCATCTAAAGCAGTGATCAAATATGACAGGAAAAGCCATGTAATAGCAAACTCCCAACACTTTCTTGCTGGTTAGAGTGGCTGCATGCTTCCCATGCTTCCCAGATCTAGAAATGGAATTTATTTCTCTTTTTTTTTCTGTCATTAAAAGCAATTTTTGGAATTTCCCTGTTGTATTTAATGCATACCTTTTGCCTATCCAGGCTCTGCACTTCCCCAGCTTTGTTTTGAGGCTACATGATCAATAAATGTCATTGCCAAAGTGCTTTGCCAGTTCAGGTATCAGAAATGAAAACAGAAGCTCCAGCTCTCCTTTACTGGTCGTGACAAATTGATTCTTTTTGGTCTACCTTTCATTTCTCTCACTTCATGTGTCTGAGGAGAGGGGAATTTCTCACAGCACCTGCTGCTGGGCCAGCCTGAGTTCCAAGATCCTTTAAAGATTTGTTATTAAATTTGTCTTGTGCTCATGTAAAATGGGAACTGGAGGGATTCTTATAATTTCAAACCATTTTTGTTTTGGCAATTAAAAAATACTAAAACAGAGACTGTCCATGCAGAAGGAACCTGCACTTGTAATTACAATTTGTCCATGAACACTCAGAGCTGTGCAATTAGGTGAGGAATTATATGCTTAAAGGACCACTTGGGCACTTTATGTCCAAATCAAAACATAACTTCATAAGTACAGGTACATATATGTTTGCTTAAAAAGAAACAACAAACGATTATTGGATCCCCAGAGGAACCATTTATTCCTTTCCCCAGGAAGTAAGAGGACTGACTTGTGCTGAGGGAAGGATTTTTATCCTTTCTGCACAAAACCTTACCAGGATTGTTTTCCAATTACTGTTTTGAGCAACAGCACAAGTTCAGGAATGGATTAATCTGAAACTTCACTTGTAGCTCCCTAAAATACCTCCACAGTTTACTCTATTTTGCAGCCAGTTTTGCTGAGACAGAACTGCAGAGAGCTTTGCCACTTGGTTTAGCTTTTTTTCCCCCCAGAAGCCATTAACATTTACTGTTCTCAAGGGTTTGGGACACATATGAAATATAGAACTTCCACTTCTTCAGAGTCAGTTAATCAACAAAGTGTGCATTTTTGTCTGCTGGAATCTGTCCCTGAGATTTCCAATTCCTTTTGTTTAATTTCTGTGTTCTGAAAGTTTTCAAACTGTCAGCAAAGATATTTTACCAGTTTTCATGTTATGGCAGGAGCTGAACCTTACTTTTATTAAGGGGTGGAAAGGGATGCCAGCTGGATTCTTTTTTCCTCAGATCCCACAGGAGGATATATGGGTGGGCAAAAGCTACCACTGCAAAAAAAGCAAGCAGGTAAAATATGTACCCAATGAAAAAAAATCAGAAATCTTTAGTCATCCATGCAGAACACATACAACACCTAATTAAATCAGGTTTCATTGAAATTAAAATAAATGGCCTGAATTAATGAATGCAGCTTGTGAGGAACACTCAGGTCCCATTGTGCAGGCAGACTCTACATGAGGCATTTTTGATAAGACATTTTGGGGAGCAGAAGCTGTTGCTGTGTGTTTGTACCATGGAGAAGGGCAGAGGACAGGACAGAGATCTCTGCTCTGGCACCTGGATGTGTCCCAGCTCCTCTGCTCCCTGCTGGGTGACCTTTAGCAAGTCACATCTCATTTCTGACAGTCTCTGAAAGCATTTTGTAGTCTCCTCAGGAGTAGCAATATTTAGGAACAAAGCATCCTTGTCCCAGTAATGTGTGATTTGCGTGCTGCTTTATTCCACAGGATGGGGCTTAAACAAAATTTATGGGAAATGCTGGCTTGTGCTGGATCTCTGCACAGGAGTGAATCTTACCCAAAATCAATAGAGTCATTCCCCAGACCCGTGGGTTTTATGAGTGCCACAGCATAAAGGAATCAGATCCTTCCCCCCAAAAAAATCACTATGCCTCTGCCATAATTGCTACGCTTGGGAATTGGATAAATACCAAATTCTGGTTTTCTAGAGTTCTCCATTTCTTTGTGACCATTAATGAAATTACAGCCCTGCTAATAGCGATGTGACATCCTGGCCAAGGGAAAGGTATGTGGGAATTGTCAGCAAATGCAAGTTTGAGTGAAAAAGAGGCAAGTCCTCACCAGTTGTTATCCTGCTGACTTCATCAAGGTTATACAGTGTTTTCAGGAATGCATGGGAAGTGGTATTTTCAAGTTATTATTTTGATTTTCCATAAGATTTGGCCACCTCTGATGGGCTGGGGGAGTCCAGCACCTCTTCGGCAGAGACTGGTGGGAGCAGCAGCTACAACAGTGAGTGGTTTCCAACAAATCCAATGGCTCATGTAGGGTGGTGGGATCTGAGGGAGCTGCTTCCAGGCTGTCCCTGGGCATGGTTTCTCTCTTGAGTGGCACATAATCCTCTGGACTCCAAACCTGAGCGGTGCTGAGGCAGAAACTCGAGTGAGTTGAGTAGTTTTATGCAGTATTTTAGTTAACTGGGCTGGATTTTTTAAATTCCTCCCCAACCTGTGCTTTAGGCAGCTGGATGGATGCAATTTATAGTTCCATGTCCTTTAATGCTGCACGTTGTACCACAGGCCTGCCTGGTGCTCACCTGGGCTATTTGGCACCTCCAAAACACCCACTGGAGACACGAGACTCCTTCTGCTTCTCCCTTAATATGGTATTCTGAGGTCAAAGAGATGTTAAAGCTTCTTCTGATCACTAAAAACCTTGGAGAGTTTTACATTAAACCAGCCCTAGGTCAGTATGTCCTGGCCACATTTCAACTTGGGTAAGTCACAGGGCACAGGATGGGATGTTCTGGCTCATTTTCTGCTTCATCCCCTTCATTCTGCTGTGTATCAGTAACACTCTGAGGACCAAATCTTGTGGCATCAGCTGCCTACAGTAGAACTGCATCCACTTCTACCCAGAACCACTTTGATCTCATTTCCTTATGCAAAACATCTACTGAGAGCACTCAGAGCTCAGGGAAAAGAGAACCTCGACTGTGTTGGTGTTTGCTCCTTTAATGTATTTTGGGATGTGTGTGGGTTTATTTACAAAGCACGTGTAGTTAAATGTCATTGAAAAATATAATTAAAAATCAATTAAGAGACCATTTTAAAAACAAGAGGTTGTAAAAATGGAATTTACAATAATAACCAGACTAAGCATTTGGCATTTACATGTCTGCACCAAATAGCAATTCCCTTGTTAGTTGTGCTTGAGTGACAAGGTACTCGCTTATCTCCTGGATATAAATTCCAATATTCTTGTTATTGCTGGGACAAATAAATACCTGCATAAAGACTTCTTGCACTGCCAAGTAACACCTACTGATTAAATTCAGACAATTGGTTTTTTGTTCTTGTCTGGGCCCAGTGCCAAAATTATCCCATTGTATGAAGGGCCAGATTTTGCACTCAGTTTATGTTCAGTTAAAGGTAAATACCGTGCTACCAATACAAATCTAAGCACAGAGAGACATTCTGAAATGTTTTATTTTCCTACATAAAACCTGAACGTGCAGAACACATAGAAGCAAAAATGGAAGAGTATTTTGCCTAAAACACAACATGGTGGTGAAGGCAATTGCTGTGACTAGACCTCTCCAAGGGGGAGGACATGAGTTGTGCTTGGAGCCTGCGAGGTACAGAAGTTCCTGTGACACATTTTGGCTTCCAGAGAAATAACTGGCAATAAATCCACTGGAATGCCTCTATGTACATGTGGAACTCGTGCCTGCACATTCTGGATCTGGCTTTAAATGGTAAGAGCTCAAGAACTGTGGGATCTGTCTTGCTGTGGGATCAAATATCCCAGATTTATAACCAAGCCTGAAGCCTTTTTCTTCGTTAATACTCATCCCCTTCCTCTCCCATCTTCATTGTGAACTGCTGGGGGTATTCCCGAGGTTCTTGTAAAGGAGGTGGAGATGAAATATCTAAAAAGCATTTTAAACATCATGAGTCCATAGGAAACGCAGGAATCAGTGATAATGCCCATCTGTGAGGGTTCCATGTCAAAGGGGATGGGCCAGGATTACCCTTGGAAAGTTCTCTGCCTGTGCTTGTGTCCACATCCCTTCTCTTCCTGGCAATGCTGGGGTGAGTGGTTGTCTCTTCCCGAGTTTTGGAGTCAGCCTGGGGAGAAGGGAGTTGTGCTGGAGAGCTTCTTCCTGGGCTAGGTGGAAGGTTGGTGGTAGCTGCTGCATTGGGCCATTTCTTTCAGGTGATGGATTTAAGTGATCTGTGACACATCCCACACCCCCTGTTTGATTCCATGCTGATTGGGTCCTCTCCTGTGCCTGGCTATGGCTTCTACGATTTAACTCTCATTCCTCATTACATGCACAGACCAAAATGAATCAAAACCCTCTTGAAAATCTGACATTGCAGCCCTTTAGAATTTGGATGATATGGAGAGTCTGTTTCCCTTATTTATGACTAATCAGAGGTTTCATATATGCCACCCCATGCTCTCATCAGTTCAAGATGCAGAAATCAGCCCCTTTCTTTTACCATTGCTTCCTTCTTTGTCTCTGAAGATCTCCATTAAAACCTTGCTGTAATACTCAATCTGCATTTTTCCCAGTTTTCAGATGCAAGGATACACTGCAATAACACACACTTGTTTTATGAGGAGGGCTTACTGCAAGTATTTTATTTCATTTTAAGGATTTCTTCCCTCATTTTTTGGTCCTGCAATTCAGACCATTCACAGGGGTCGTTGCCTGTGCCATCCCTGCACCCCTCCCAGCAAGCAGCACCCTGATGTATCCCTCTCCAGACATCTTCCCTCTGAACCAGGCAATTTGTGCCCAGACTTGGATGGAATATGGGTTTTTTGTGTTCGCATATGAACATCTGCTTCAAATTCTCAAGCCAAGAAAGACAAGAAGCAAATTAAACTATTTGTTCTTCTTTCTCTCTCTTTAATATCAAAGTCATTCCTTACATGCTCCTTAAGCTTCCACTTTTGATCAGGAGATATTAAAAATGGATCTAAACAACTCACATCTTAATCATATTCCTTTGTGAGCAGGGTAAGAGTGAGGGGAGAAGGGGAGAGAAGCCAAAGCTGCTTTGCTGCTCGTGCTCAGTATCCAGCCGGGATCCAAGACATCCACAATCCCTTCCCTGGGAGCAGAGGGGAGTCCCTGTCCCTCCTGAGCTGCCCTGTGCAGAGCACGAGGCCTCTGGAACATCCTGCAGCTTGAAATCAATCTCTGCCTGCGCTGGAGCAGCCTGGGAACAATTCCCTGCTGCTCTCTGATTTGTGCTGGAGACCTGGAAAAGGGAATTTTGAGGATGACTCAGATATTCCTTCCTCCCCCTGGGCTTTCCTGCTGTGCCAGCCCCGCAGCCAACTCGCTCTTCTGGGTGCCTCGGTTGCAAGTTCTCAAAAATCTCTTTAAGAAAATTCTATAAAATGTCTTTTAAGAAAAACCAAAGAGAAACTTGAATGTTTTCACAATCCTGTGCAGATTTTGGAAAAGATGTCGTTCACTTCAGGAGGAAAACCAATAAGTTATGGTGCTGTTTGGATTCAGTCAATGAAAAATCAAAAGAATAAAGTTTAGCATTTCACAAGAAATAGTTTGTTCTACACAAACCTGATTTCATTCTGTGATGAGATCATGGATTTCGTTGCAAGTCCTATTAGAGTAGCTGCACAAATAAAATAAATTTTTGTGACATGTTTGATTCAGTGCTGAAGGATATTCTGATTAAAAAATCAGCACTATACAATTATCAACAACATGCATTAATAATTTAATAAAAACTAAATGACAGATCTCAAAAAGCAGCTGTCAATGTGGAATAAGCATCAAATGTATATCTGGTGGGTTTCTGCTATTCCACTTACTCCTATCAATATTTACATTACTGATCTAGGAGTAAATATGGAATCACTGCAGCAAAAATTTGTGAATGACAGAAGAACTGGCAGAGTGGTGAGTGCTGATGGGCACAGAATGTTCACACAGAGCCATCTAAACCAGCTGACAAATTATTTCAGCATTCCTAGAGGAAGGTTGAAATTTATCTCCATATTATTGACATCCCTGCCCATGGCAGGGGGTTGGAATGAGACAATGTTTAAGGTCCCTGTGAACCCAAACCATTCTGTCCTTTCCAGCCCAAACCTTTCTATAATTTCTGGGATTCTCTTATTCCCTGCAAGGAGCTGTGCTTGTTTTTGTAGGCAGTGAAGGCTCTGGGAACTGGAAGATCTGCATGTCAGGCAGGAGATGACAGAGTTTGCCAAGCAGAGGATCCAAGGAAGCAGGAGCTTTGTCCTTGGGCCAGGTGATTTTATACCCCCGAGGTAAACTGGAAATTCCATGTCCCTGGAATCCATCCTCCCTCACTCCTCAGCCTCCTGCTGGGATGAGCCCTGGGCGACACCAGAGGAGTTCTCAGGGCAGTCCCGGGCTGACCCTGGCCCTGTTCCCCGGGAGTTTTCCCGCTGGAGCTGGAGCTAATGAGGCTGAGGAGGCAGGAGGAGGGATGATGAGAGCAGCACTCCGCACACCTGCTGCCTCCCCGCTGCCAAGAGCCTCTGCTGCTGCTGCAGAGCCCATCTCTGAGCAGAGAAGCGAGGAAGAGCAAATGCGATCCCTGTTCTGCTGATGAGGTATCTCAGAGGTGAGAGGGCAGCATGAGAGGAGCCTCAAGTGCTTGAAGACCCCAGAAGTGCAGAAGGGAGCTTGGATTATTTCCAGGAATAAAAAGAATTGATGCCTCATTTCCATGTATCTGAATTCAGTACAGTGTTTCAGTTTTAACAGGGAGTCATCTTAGGTCGGTGGGAAGATTTTGATTTATTTAGTGAGGTTTATACTGGGTTTTGCAGCCCTGCTTGCCACAAACCCTTCCCTTTCCCTGTGGCTTAAGGACACGGAGGAATGGAGACCTTCGTCCTTCAGGGAGACACATAACTATGAGGATTTTTTATACTCCTTGTGCCAGCTCAAACTTGGTGGATAAGTTAAGAGCTGCTCTTCCTTGTGCTCAGTTGGCCATCTGTCACTGACACTAAAAACCCTTGGAACAGGAATATTCCAAAGCTTTGGGAAAGATCTCACCGTGCCCTTAAAGGGGTGTGAGGTTTAGAGGGCAGCTGTAGAAATGGCTTTGCTTTATGGACTTCACATGCTATAAAAAGGCAACTCACTACCCACAGTCTTAATTAGAGTGCTCTGGACTATTAAGGGGGATGTGGGAACTTTGTCCAAGGCAGACAGAAACCAGGCAGAGTGAATCTTATCTAGGATGCAATTTTGGGAATAAAGTCTCTAT